TACACGTCAAAAAGACAGTGAACCAAACCACTACTCTTTATTGATTATGAAGAATAATGAACAAAGTGTTTTTTTCATAGAACGCTTATAAAACTTGAACAGATGGTAAAAGCAATGAGGTTTTATGATCACCCACGCTTAATGAGAAGAAATTAAACGTTTAAGGATTTTGGTTGGTTAATAAGCTCCTCCACTGAATCCATCCCTTGGTTCCAGAATGTGTATGGAAATTCCACTGAAGATGCAGCTCCGACCTCTCCCTGTGAGAAGGCCATAAGTACAGGAATCACCTTGTGCATGATTAAAATATAGAAACAGCATACATACAATATTTAATAATGTGTTTACCTTCATATTCAAAGAAATAAGCCCAATATCAAAGCATTTATCGTCACCTATTCTCCTCTGCATGTCGGCAAGAACAGCATGACAGGCTTCACTTGGAGACGAGCCCTTGGATAACAGATGAGAAAAATGTAAGCCAGATCTAATTTGCTGAAGTGCAAACCGTTTGCTAATGAGATTTTCATTGACCGTTTTCACTTTACACCACTACTATAGTCAACGACAACCATCAGGATACCCAGATGCTCCTAGTATTCAACATGAAATGTACTACTGAAGACAAATTACACCTCAGCCTTTGGATACATTCACATAATCCTATGTATAATTACCTAAATAAATACACGACTGAATGTTCGTCCAAGGTGATAATTTAATTTATACCAAAACAGAATTCCATACTTGTTTCATCAGCTGCACAACATGAAAGCTTGGGCAGTAGCACATGATTTTGTCTCCATCTCCTGTAGCTGTAGACAGAGAGAATATTGAGAATTTTGAAAGTACATACACCATGAGGACAAATGTACTTGGACACCTGACTATAACATCAACGGGGACTGTAATGACATTACATTCTAAATACATGACATTAATATGGAGTTGGTCCCCCCATTGCATCTTTATCAGATTCCACTCTTTTGTCAGAGGTCAGGCAGGCACTGCTATCGAATACAAAGGCCTAGCTCCCTATCTCCGTTCCATTTGATCCCAAAGGTGTCCGATGGGGTTGAGGTCATGTCTTTATGGATCTTGTGTACTGGGAAACATTCATGCTGTAATAGAAAAGAGCCTTCCCAAAACTGTTCATACAAAAAGTTGGAATCTTAGCATTGTCCAAAATGCTGAAGCATTAAGATTTCAGTTCACTGGAAGTAAGGAGCCTAGCCCAACTCCTGAAAAACAGCCCCATACCATTATCCATCCTCCACTAAACTTGCCACAACGCAGTCAGGCAGGTAACGTTCTCCTGGCATCCACCAAACCCAGACTCGCCCAGAGAAGCGTGATTTGTCTCTCCAGAAAACACGTCTCCACTGCTTCAGAGTCCAGGGGCAGTGTCCTCCATCCGACACTTGGCATTCTACTTGGTGATGTAAGGCTTGCATGCAGCTGCTCGGGCATGGAAACCCATTCCATGAAGCTCCCGTCGCATAGTTTTTGTGCTGATATTAATGCCAGGTATGGAATCAGCAGAGAGCTATGTGATTTTACATGGTCCTCCTCTTTGTCACTGAGTTGCTGCTGTTCCTAAACACTTCTACTTTCCAATAATACCACTTACAGTTGACTGTGGAATATCTAGCAGGGAAAAAATTTCACATACTGACTAATTGGAGAGGTGGCCTCCTATCACAGTAACACGCTTGAATTCACTGAGCTTGTCAGAACGACCCACTTTTTCCACAAATGATTGTAAATGCAGACTTCATGACTAGATGCTTGATTCTATGCATCTGTGGTAATTGGTCTGATTGAATGCAATAATTAAGACAAATTCTATTGTCCATATGTATTTCAGATGTAAAGTCCCCAAAACATCTATACTGTATGGTCAATATTACAATCTAATTTGATCTAATAAAATGTTAAATCTAATCCAGTCTAAAGAATAAACAATACATTTGAGGAAAAGTTTTTAATACAAGCTCAGGCTGCAATTAAAAAGTCAAAAGCAGCAAAAAAATAATATACATAAAACCTTACCTGCTGCAGCCCCCACCTGAAAATACAGAGAACAGCTGTCATGCTAAAGTAGAATAACTTGTCATACTTTTAAAAATTAATATAATTTGATAGTAAAGAAACAGGCTATGAGTTTAATGATAAAAAAAACCTGCAGGTTGCACATCTTACTGTATTATCAGCATATAGACCACAGCCTGGAAGCGGAGAATCCCCTACCCTCCCTGGTGATTTGAAGGGAGCTCCTGATGTAGAAACTCCTGCACAATATTTGTAAATTTAGGAACATACAAATGATAATTGTCAAATAACAGAATTTGTACAAAATATCACATTTGTATAATTAGAATCATATCGATACTGTCTCAAGCATAATTATGAAATATGAAACCAAATGTAACTATACATCAAAATAATATTTTTAAAGAAATGAATATAATAGGAAATGTAAGTGTAAACCTTACCTACTGTTGTGTTTCCGCTTAGATCGAGAGCAATAAGACCTATGAGAAAGTAAACCAATTTAAGCTGGAATCTGTGCAACATACACTACTTGATTACCATAAAGCTGTAACAAAAGTTAATTATAAACCCAACCAGTGAGATTAATATTCTCAATTATACTATTGCAATTAGATGTACTGTAATATGCGTGATTATATATTTTTAAATGTATATTCATAATCATAAAATTGAAAAACATTGATTATATACTAAATGTCAGTATCATTTTATTACATTAGGCCATACCCAGTTCAGAAATAATTAAGAGTCATAGTAGATGTCTCCCTGCCAAGTGAGTTAACCAACCCCCACCACAACCTGGTTGAGTCATCAGACTTAAAAAAACGGGTTAGCCCCATATATGATTTACTCATCGAGAACGATTTCAGGTTATATTAATCTCTTACCTATTGTATCATGCCCACCACTAACAGGTTTATTTTTTTCAAGGAATTCCTTTTGAAGTACATGTGTAAAAAGAAAACAGAAAAATGTCATAAAACATATGTATTCTCTCTAGGAATTAAAATAATAAATTTCCGTGCGTGTGAATACCCGGTAAGCGGTAGCTGTATGGTGAGAGAGCATATTGTCATTGGCCTCAGATGTAAAACCTAGATCCTGAGCAAATGCTTCTGCTCCATCTCCAACAAGCAAGCTGTGAGGACTCTTCTCCATTACTTTGCGAGCTACACGACATGGCTGTGCAATACTAGCAATGAAAACAAAAGTATACAAAATGGTTCTGGGCCAGGCGTTATGGAAAAAAACTGATTTCCTATTTGTTTGTTTTTTCTCTTTAAGCAGTGCATTGCAATTGAAAGCATTGTACCAAAGGGCAATTTTGTTACATGTAAGAGATTCTAAAGGAGAAAATACTCAACAGACTTTTATTTTACCCTCGCAGTGCAGCCACTGCCCCAAATCTCCCTGGCACACCTTCCATAATTGCAGCATCACATTCAACCACTCCCTTGCAATTTGGATATCCTCCTCTGCCAACAATGTGCCGTCCCGTGTCTGCATCATCTTCAACCTCTGAGAGAACAAACCTTTATCAGAAAAGCATATAGGCCTATGTCTGGTTATTATTTATAAAAGAAAGATACCATAAAATAGAAAACTATTTTACATAATATTGAAATATATTTATGCCATATTTAGTAAATAAATTCCTCTTAAACAGTTCCAATACATTCCCACATATCCTAATAAACAAAGTCTGCTAACATTTACAGTACAACAAATGCTTGGGATTAATATGAAAAATGGGAATGAATTCTCTAATGATAATTACTAAATCTCAAGTAAACATAGTTACAAAATTGTAGAAGGTCCAGTCAGATCCCACATTATTCACAGCCTACCTGTATGTATTTATCCCCTTTAAATAATAAACGTTAAAGTATTTGATTGATGAAGAAGAGTACAACAGCTGTCTATTACCTGCCATAGCTGTTTCTACAACATCTGTTGCATTTTGTCCAGCTAGCAGCATACAACTCATTCTCTCCACTGCAGGACGAGAAAAAGACCATGTCCCCACAGCTGCCATTTGACTTAAAATGTACTTTAATATGTATATGTATTTATCTACGGTAAACATTCATTTCCCTCTTTAGTGAAAGCAGAGTGAAAGTAAAAATATAAACCCAAGCGTTGTTAAAACACCGTTTCAAAATAAAAGTCAGGGCGTTAATTGAAAGTTACAGTTGTTTTTAATGGTCATGAGAGAAATAGAAAAATAAACACGTATTATAGAAGCATTAGTCCTGTAATTGTAAGCCAAAATGGGGGTCAACCTAGAACAAATTGCAACAAAAGCAAACTTAATTGATTTTGTATCCTCAATGTGTCATGAGTAAAGTGGAAAAAGCCCCGAAGAATCCAATAAGGGGAAAGTTTCGAAAAAGACCCACATATCCTAATACTCGTTCTTTATCTCACGTGAACATGTCACGTGAATAGGTAAAATTTGGTAAATTGGGTAATTAGATTATGCACCGTTTGCTAATGTAAACAAAAAAACTACTTTTTTCAACTTAAAGGTTCTAAAGGTTCAAATTTTCACGAAAGAAAAAGAATGAAAAGGCGTATGAATATTTGTGTCTTTTTCGAAACTTTCCCCTGGTATTCTTCGGGACTTTTTTTTTCTTTACTCAGAGAAAAAAACGCGTCTTAAGTTTAAATTCATACATGATTAAACCAGTGTTTTGATTAAATGTATTAGCAAAACGTCTATTATTATTATTAATAATAATAATAATAATAATATAATTCCAAAACATTATTCATAGATGACACCTTTTACTACACTATTTTTACATATAGTTATTTTAGTTTTGCATAAGAGCTTCATTTTACATTATATTTTATAACGTGTAAAAAAATATTATTTTGGCATATGATTGTGTGAATATTTAAAAACCCCATAATGCACCGGAAGATAATAACATAAACTCGGCGGAAGTTGTTGTGCGTGTAACTTGTGTGCGCTCCCTGTGTTTCTGGAACTGTTCCACTCAAACTCCAAGCCAGCCTGGTGGATTCTGCGAAATATCGGTTTGTTTGTACCTTTTTAATGCACAATCTATTACACTATTTCGGAAAACATGTTTGTTATATAGCATGAACTGTTTCAGTTCGTAACGAACAGATTAGCGCCACAAAAGCTAGCCACGTTGGGCTTCAGTCTGCTCCGTAGACATTCGTTTTGATCACTACTGTCAACTCATTTGTCGCTTTCCATTGCATGTGAATTGTGTTATGTTAAGAGGTCTTTCAAATGTGATGTATAACATTGAGCCACACTACAAAAACAAACAAACATACACACAAGAACCCTACACTTGTTTACAGAATTGACACGTTAGATATGTTTTGTAGTTTACTTTCAAATTTAAATTCCTGCTTAAGTTGAAATAATGACACCCCGTAGTGTTTATTCTACAACCAAACCATGCAATTATGTTGCATTTATTTATCTGTCCACAATACACGCAAGTGTCTCAGAAGTATTGTGCTGTTGTGTGCTAAGTGTTTTTGTTTGTTCTTGTTTTCAGCACAGGTCTTCTGAAGTCATTGAGACTTGAAGACCTAATTTAGTCTTGAAATCACTGCTAGGTTGTTTTGCTTCATAACCTGTCAATATGGAGCAGAACAACAGTATACCACCTTTTCCTCAAGGGCTGGCTTCTCCACAGGTGAGTAATGTAGTGTTGTGTTGAGTAAACATAGTTAATACACAGCTTTAGAAATCACAACCGATTTTGAAATATAGGCATCTTTACAACTTTAGAAATGGTTATAGAGGAAAGCTGGGCAAACAACTGAGGATCACACAATACCAGACTATATTCGTTCCAAACACAACCTCAGACGCGGCACGACAATTGAAAATGTGTTATAAAATCAAACATGTTCAATATTTGTTGACTGGATGGAGTCATAGTCTGAGGCTAAAAAAAAAAATCTGATTCTGTGCCCTTTATAAACTATTGTTATTATTATTATTTTGTTGTGATTTTCAACTCAAATCTGGAGACTGGCTCTGACTTTCGGCAACTAGTGTTGACTCCTCCAGACTGTGTGGTGTATTCCAGGCCTTACAAAACACAGGTATTTTAAACAAAACGTATTCAATGCATGAAGTTAATTCACCTCGTCTCTATTCAAAGGGAGCCATGACACCTGGCTTGCCCATTTTCAGTCCTATGATGCCGTACGGCACGGGTCTTACACCACAGCCAGTGCAGAACACCAACAGCTTGTCCCTCCTGGAGGAGCAGCAGCGACAGCAGCAGCAACAGGCGGCCTCGCAACAGCAGGGTGGGATGGTGGCGGGTTCAGGCCAGACACCCCAGCTGTACCACTCACAGGTCTCCACGACCACAGCACTGCCAGGCAACACTCCACTTTATAACACACCTCTCACCCCTATGACCCCCGTCACTCCTGCCACACCGGCCTCAGAGAGCTCTGGCATTGTTCCCCAGTTACAGTGAGTTCTTTAGCTGTCATCACTGCACAATTCTGTTCGAAACATTGTTGATTGCCTTTCAGAAAAAACAAAGTTATTGAATATATCTGTGATCTAGAAGATCATGATTGTCATTTTAAATTCATTAGAACTGTTTACAATTTCCTGTTATGTTAAAGTTATATTATATAAATTTATTTTTAAGGAACATTGTGTCCACTGTAAACTTGGGGTGCAAACTTGACTTAAAGACGATAGCACTTCGAGCCAGAAATGCTGAATATAATCCAAAGGTGAGATTGTTTTTGTACAACCTTTTTAATACCATTTGACCATTAAAAAATGATAAAACTGGTTATGTCAGATTTGGATTTTTCTGATTTGAAGTATGTTTCAAGTAGACTAGAGTTGGCCTCGCATGCCTGAAATAGCTGCCTGGATTTGTTGCAAATATGACCACAAAGTGTACTGACTTTCCTTAAAAGGGGCTTTGCCTCTTGTTACAAAAATCTAAATTACTTGCAAGTGTATGATATTTTCTAAACAATAAGCAAAATATCAAAAACATCCACTTTAGTTGAACTCATATATTCATGAACTATTTCAGCGTTTTGCTGCCGTCATCATGAGAATACGAGAACCCAGAACAACAGCCCTCATCTTCAGCTCGGGGAAGATGGTGTGCACAGGAGCCAAAAGGTACGAGTCCCAACTTGCTGTGTTTTTCTTCCTATCACACACGTGTAGAACAAACAGCAGTGTGTGTGTTTGCCTTTTTTGTGTGCAATCGCTTCTGCAGTGAGGAACAGTCCCGATTGGCAGCCAGGAAATATGCCAGAGTGGTGCAGAAGTTGGGTTTTCCTGCCAAATTCTTAGACTTCAAAATTCAGAACATGGTGGGCAGCTGTGACGTCAAGTTTCCCATTCGATTAGAGGGCCTGGTGCTTACACATCAGCAGTTTAGCAGGTTTGTCTATTTATTTGTTAATTAGTTTTTATAGTACATCTCAAACTAACTTATAAATTAATTCAAATTTTCTACACTATTACTGTTTGTACCACTTGAGTTATGCTTATAGGTTTATTTTAATATTTAATCCACTGAGCTTTTGAAATCAGAATCATTCTGTCTTGAGATGGAAAAACTAACACCATTTGATATGAAACCTAATATCCTGCTGATACTTTCCCCCAGCTATGAACCAGAGTTATTTCCAGGATTAATCTACAGAATGATCAAACCAAGAATTGTCCTTTTAATATTCGTTTCAGGCAAAGTTGTACTCACAGGTGAGGTTATTGTTGTATTTAAAATGGCACAAACAGTAACTTTCAATGCTAGTATGAGATTCTGAGTGAAATTCCTGTCTTTTTTTTTTTTTTTCTAGGTGCAAAAGTTAGAGGAGAAATCTATGAAGCGTTTGAGAATATATACCCAATCTTAAAAGGATTCAGGAAGACTACATAATCTCTGGGCAGAGCACCATTCTGTTATCGCTGGTGAATTACTGGCTGAGCCCACCGGTATTTCTGGGGTGACCTACAGTGTTTCATTTACTTTTGTAAGCTTGTAAATATGAAGGACACCTTTTTCTTCACTCAGAAAGTGAACTGTTTTGAGGATAACTTGTTTTTATTTGACCTTTTTAAAATGTTTCTCACTTGCCATTCGGTTTTCAAAATACTGTTTTATCCATGTATGATCATTTTAAAGAATTCTTTTATGGTTTTATTATGTATGTTCATCATTTAATAGATGCTTTTACACATTCCCTTTATTAGCAGGTTTTATGTGTTTTGCATTACTGATGTCTGTGTTGACTGCCCATCAGTGAAAGAATAAGGCTGGGAAGTTATGCCTATGTTGACCAGTCCGAGAATATTTTTTTTGAAGGAGCGCTTTTTTTTTTTAACAAAGCTTTGCAAACAAGTTTGCGAATCCTTCAGTTGTTGAAATCATGTGGATTTGATGTTTTAAGTTACAGTTTTAAATAAGATGTTACAGTTGGCAAATCTAACGATCGAATTCACATGTCATTGTATAATGTGCTGTAGGTCTCCCAGTAACCCCATGTAAAGCACTGACATCATTTTAATTTAATTTGTTTGTCTATGTAACTAACTTTGCTACATTGAATCGAAATAAATGTTTGCCAACTTCAGCTTATCGCTACAGTATCTACTCTAGAATGGCAATAAGACCTCTCATTTTTGTTGTGTTAGGAGTTTTTACAATCTGAAAAATTAGTGAGATTAATTCGGATTTCATTCCAGGCCTTCGCAAATAATAAATGACAATTTTATTATGAATAACAAGGCAGGAAAATTGTGTTAAGATCTTGCTTTACAAATTGTAGGGTTTTTTTTTTCAAATGCAAGAACTTTAAGAAGAAATTTAAGTAAGAATACGTAACTCATAAATACAGTAAAAACAATGTTGTGAAATATTATAAATTCATATTTTAAAATGTAACTTCCTGTGATTGTAAAGCTGAGATCTTTAAGAGTCAGTGAAACACGATCCTTCAGAAATCATTCTTATATGCTGATTTTACGCATTATGCATAAAAATGTATTTTATTAACAGATTTATTCATTTAAAATAAAATAATTTATTTTATTAACAGATTTCTTATCAATCTTGAAAATAGTTGAGCTGCTTAATATTTATGTATAAACGGTAAGGCATTATTCTTTAATTAATTGAAAGTTGAAAAGAGTAAAATTTATTTGAAATAGAAATGTCTTAATGCGAACATCTTTACTATAACTTTTAATCAATTTAATGCATCCTTGATGAATAGAAGTATGAGGGGCAGAAATGTTGCACTGTATGAGGGTGCCTCAAAAGAACCAATCCTTTATTGTTCACATTTCTTTATTATATAAGTCTAAATAATAGTTCATATGCATTGACTAATTCTACACAGTTTGATCTCCTGAAAAGTCTTGTTTCCAGATGAACTCTGCAGAATATTTGGAGCCTTGGTCACAGCTGTCGGCACATGTGTAGATGGCCACTGTCCCCCAGTCTATGCTGGCATCTGTCCTATCCACTTTGAGGTGATTAAGTAACTGAGGCATGATCTGAAATAAACACAGTGACAATTTAAACCATGAAATGCATTAATCTAATGGTATGGTATGACATGTAAGAGATACACCAAAGCATAGATGTGCATTTTAAAACAAAAGTTTGGGTTCAATAATATTTCAAGAAGTTTCCTATGCTCACCATGAATGGATTTATTTAATCATTTATTTTAAGATTTTCGGTAGCCACAACTCCATTTTCACATCCTTCAGAAATAATTTCAATATGCTGATTATGGTGCTTAAGAAATATTTATTATTATCAATGTTCAAAACCATTTTAATGCTTAATATTTTTCAGGATTCTTTGACGAATAGAAATTTTGAAAAGCAAATCTTTGGTAACATTATTAACAACTTTACCAGAATTTTTGTTCAATTTAATAGACCCTTGCTGAATAAAATCTCACTGACCCTAAACTTTCAAACAGCAGTGTATAAATGACAATGTGCTTTTTATTTAACATGTATTTTACCTGAAATTCAAAGAGACGTTTAGCACCACATGGACATTCTGGAACTTTATCATCACGTGGCACGTGTTCAGCTGACACCCACAGAGGAGATCCTTCTTTACAATACCGCAAAACCTTAAAAAAATACGTATACAATCACATAGCCATTGAACCATATAACAGACATCAGCCATGGGTAGCATTTGCTCTTCTTATCACCGACCTGTTGTGGGTCATTAGCAATTCGCTTCTTGAACTTCTGAAACACTTTAGCGTCTTGTGTTTCATGAAACGCCATACTCTCTAGCTCACTGTCCTCCAAATCTGAGAGAGTAAAAAAAAAATGGAATGACAAATCCTAGACAAGACACAGACATATCAAGCTGCTGAATCTATTCTGCTGAAAGGCATACCATTATTTAAGCACGCCATGTTCTGATCCAAACTGTGGGATTCATGGTGTTCCTCATCTGTTGCTGGAAGCTCTTCCGGTTCGGTAACCAGCTCCCATTCAGGAAAGAGAAATGGATTAAGCTCCTCTGAAGTATGAGAAGCTGTAGATCCAAATATGAAGACAACACAACATATATATACGGCACTCATTAGAAATAATGTATAATTAAAGCATTTACTCACCCTCATTTGAACATTCTTTCTTGTGCCGGTGTTTCCAATCTATGGTCTGATGCTCTTTACTGCAGTATGTGACAGAGTGACATCGAGAGCAGGCTTTCTGTCCCAGACAGCCACACAGTCTGCACAATTTGAGCCCAGATTTCAGAACCTGATGTTCATCCACTGCGTGGTCTGGCTTCTCATCAGAGGGTGGGTCATAAGGGTAAAAGTCATTTTTCCTTGGCAGTTGACATCTGAACACTAGAAATGGGGATAAAGCAGAATTATGTATACTCTAATGTTGGTATTATACAAAGGCTTGCACGTTTAAACTAAACCACTTTTAGATAATGAGGGATGAATCCCAAATGAATACATCTTCAATTAAAATAACACAAACACAAAGAGTAATACATAAGAAAGTTCTACTCAACATATTTCGATAGCTCATAATTTACCTTTTAAACACTTGTTGTCATTTCTTGTATAGCAGGCTGGTGTCTTACAGCAGAACACAAATAGTGTTCGGTGAAAGCATCGATCATATTCCGTAATAGGCGCATACACCTGCAGAAGAAACACTGTTGGGAGATTGCACTTCTCGCACTGTAATTCAGACACAGTTGGCAAATCAACCTGACGTAACCACGCAGGTCTCCCTCCAACTTTACTTGGAAACTGGTCGCTAAGAAGTTGCCATGATTCTGCCTCCTCTAGGAAGCCCAAAACGACCTCACGGGTTGTTTTAGACTCTTTTGCTGATTTTGCAGCCATCTGTCAAACTCTCAAAGTCGCATATAAAGCAAATGTGCGGGCGTCTGTTCATCTGAGACCGGGGCTCGGGTCAAACAAGATCTGTGACTAACGTTCCACACACAAATAAGCAGCCTGAGCAATGCGCAAATAATGTGGATGGAAGTTGGAACCTATCATATGTGACTTATATATCAGTTAGTATTATAAATAATTAATATCCTGAACGAATAGTCTCTATTAACAAGAGATAAACGTCGTTATCTTGTTCTTGGGTGAATTTAAACCGTTTTAGAATGTGTCCAATAGATGGCGTCACCGTTATTTTAGAATGTGTCCAATAGATGGCGTCACCGTTATTTAAAAAAAAAAATGTATAAAAGCCAATTGTCGATGCTAGAGGTCAATGGGCCGACTGATTCAAGCTGATGGAAGAGCAACTTTGACTGAAATAACCACTTACAACCGAGGTGCAGCAAAGCATTTGTGAAGCCACAATCTTGAGGCAGATGGGCTGCAATAGCTGAACACTTACTGGGATGGGATTTATGGGATTTACTGGGTACATCCCAGCAGTCCCCCTGAATCCAGCTTGGGCAGTCTGGACTGTGCCTGTATTTTATACTTGCTAATAATGAGCTCAGTGTTGATTTTTAGTAATAAAAACATATCCATGTAAAGATAGAATATGTATTATATTGTGCGTGTATTCGCGCCTGTTCAGTTGAGTTTATCAGAAATGACAACAGGTCTGCAGAACTTTAGTTGATGATGTCATGGGCTCTGTCCCAAATCCTACTAATCTTCCTACCTTGGGTAGGACCGAAAATGCTGCGTGCGCCTCAAAACACTGTCTAGTAAGGCGGCTGACTAGGCATTGAGACACAGCCACAGTATTTGGGTGTAAAGGAGTAAAGTGCTCAGATCAGTTTTAGAGTGGGTGGAGGATGGCTCGCCTCATGGGCGCATAACGTCAGTGCTGGTCAGTGCATGTGTGGGCTTCGTATTTATTTTTGCTTCAGAGTTTCTTTGTTTTACGTCCAGATAAAGCAAACACTTCTTGATTTGAAATGCAGCTTTCAGCGGACGTTTTCCTCCTCTAAAATAAATAGACATCGCGATGAAATCGGAGACTGGCGCTCCGGTCTCTCATTCACTAACGTTAGCGAGATGAATCGCTGAAACTGGCGTTGATACTTTTGGACGGTCAGTGTTTTCAGCGATGCCTCCGCAAGGAGGTGGAGAGTATAAGCCTGTCCCAGGTACGGTTGTGCCGCCGGTACCCCCGAGGAGATTCAGGGGCAAAGATTTGTCATCCGCGGTGAAGAGCCGCTTCGGGTCTGCAGCGGAGCGCAGGGTGAAGTGCGTGTTGGTTGGTGATGGTGCAGTGGGTAAAACTAGTCTCATTGTGAGCTATACTACCAATGGATATCCCACCGAGTATGTTCCAACAGCGTTTGACAACTTTGCAGGTAAATATCGAGCCAGCATTCAAAATCAAACCGTAAAACTAAATGTAAAAATTAAATTAAATGTAATAAATTAAAAACTTGAACTAACCACCTGCTAGAAAATCCAGTTTAAGCTAGTGCTGCCTTGGGTAGCTGTTTTTTAGTTGGTCTAAGATTGCCATTACTTTACTTGTCCAAACTTCTGGTCATTTGCTTGATAGACCATCTTCAGCTACCATCTGTTTTTCCAACATAACAAGTTCAAACTGGTTTTTGGAACATGATGTCTAGCCAACCAACTAATAACCAGCTTGAACTAGCCAATGACTATATATGAGTTTTTGTAAGGCCAGCTAGTTCACCAACCCATTTCAATCTCATTTATCATCACAGTCCATGTGTCTTAATGTGCTCTGACTAAAGGGTTAAAATGTCAAATCGAAACTGTTCTCTTCTGCAGCGGTTGTAGCTGTGGACGGCAAGCCTGTGAAACTTCAGCTTTGTGACACAGCCGGTCAGGTCAGTCCATTGAGCCCACTCAGCACCATCTGACCCAAACAAACCACCTCACAAACACATTCAAGGCAGTGCAACTTCATCATGTCCCTGCATAAGGAGGATGACATATTGTTTGCACAAACACATGCTGGTCGAAGCCCTGCTCTCTTAACTGTAAACAGACTTGTGAGTCATGTCCTAATTAGTCATATGGTTGCCTATCTGCTAGATAAGAAAGAAAGTGATTCAGTGTTGTTTTGCTTATTCATGATAAGATTTTCTGGTAAAGTTCAACTG